CCTAACTCCTTAAGTCGAGCCGAAGATCTTGCAGCTGTCATGCTGACACAAGCTGTCGTTAGAATTGGGTCGAAGATGGTGTCTTAAAGTCGGGTTTAAGAAATTACGACAAGAGCCGAAGCTTTTAAATCGCGGGCTCCGGAAAGATTAGGCTTCCAACTCTTTTCTATTTTGACAGATTCAACATTTTTTTATTTTTTTGAGTCGTTACTTTAGCATTCAAGACAAGTTTGAGACAAACTTTCATTCGTATCAGACAATGTACTATCATCAGTTATCTTACATATAATATTACTAGTTTTTTATCAGCAAATTGTGAAAAATGTTTTCTGCACAGTTAAGCAAATTGAGAAAGATATATTCTATGCAATCTGGGAACCAAGCTTAGGGACATATTCTTGGACCTGGCTATTTCGAAGAAAATAAAAACATAATCAAAGAAAATAATTAATCCCCGCAAACTCTAATTTTCTAACCCCATATCTTGACATTGTAAACCTTTAACTTTTCAAACTCTAACTTCCATTCAGTAGAAAATAGAAATCAGTATTTGAAAAATCCAAATGCAAAAGCTGACAGCCATTTAAAGGGAAACATAATTTAAAAAGTCCAATTCTTAACAAACTTTAAATCGACGGGGCAAAAATCCGGGGTTTTTTTTCGCTTAAAAGTATGTGCAAACTATGGCAGGGAACTGGAGCTAACAATAGTGCTCTGGACTCAATGTGAATGCAAATAATTTCCCAAAAACTGTTTCTAATATATGTCCAACATAAAACTAAGCAATCCAAATAGATTATCAAGTACAATAGGTGGCAACAGAAATAGATCAATTATACGCAAGTGTCAAATATAACAAGAAAAACGAAATTTTCTTACATTAGTTGACATGTTTTCCAAGATTAAATAAAAAGTGTAAAAACAGACAAAAAAGAAGTAAAAAATTGCACTTATTTTACTGCAAGATAAGCACAAAGTCTAAAATTATCACTATTATTAATAATTTTGTCGGACTCAAAAATTGAGTTGACGACACTTGTGACGTAAGAATACATAGATATAGAGATATAGAGAGTGTACAAATTCTACGTTGCCATCTATTGTACTTGATAATCTATTTGATGCAAACTACTACTATGCATTTGATAAATGGTATAATTCTCCCTATGGTCTCATAATACACCTCTCTTGGCCAACGTAGACTGTAGTAAGAAAATGTAAATATTTATTTTCTGTGTCTCCCGGTAAAACAGCGTACTAAAAAAGTTGACAGCAAAAAACACACTTTTCTGCGGTACTTATGTGTACTTTTAGTAATTTTGTGAATCATACATGCAACTTAAAAATTGAGCGATACATGTACACCT